TGAGATGCTTTCACACTGAGCCACCAAGAGCCCTGATCCCAGTGCCTGGGGCTCCCCACACTGCATCCCCAGGATGCTGTCCCTGGATCTGGTGTGTGGGATTTTGTGGCCTGCTCAGCAGGCACTAGCCCAGTCTGCCTGAACCCCAGCTACTACCCAATAATGCTCAGCTCACAAGGCATTCAACGTGCCTCGGACCGTGGGGCAGGGCGAGGCCTCCAAGACCCGGTCAGCTGGATGGAGGCCACGCTGCTGGAGGCGGCCCTGACCACCCCAGGCCACCGGATACTGAGCTGCTTTCCCTTCCCATCAGGCTCACAGCTGTGCTTTTGGCTTCCTACCCTGACCCTTGGCTCACCTCAAGTTGTTAGGTCACTACTGAACCCCACTTTACCCATCGGGTTTCAAAATGGTAACCTGGCCCTATAGAGAGGCAAAAAGAGAGAATTTCTAGTCTAATCAGAACTGGCTACATTTTCAGGGCCCAGTGCAAAATGAAAGTGGGGGCTCCTAATTCAAAAAGCATAAAAAAAGTGCCACTCAAGGTACCAAGATGTGCAGCATTTTCCTTTCTCTGAGTGTTTCTTTTGCCCAAATGCTCATCCCATTGTTTCACCAAACTTCACTTACAAACACAAGTTCAAAGATAAAATTATTGAGACTTTCAAGATGGCAACAACAGAGCATTTCACCCAACTTAAGGCCAGTGTGAGCGTGGGGCCTGTGCAGCTGCTGAGTCCAGTGTCCTCCAGTCTGTTCTGCCCGGACTGAGGAGGGATGGCTGGGAGGTGGTTCTGCGTGGACAGAGAGGGCACAGCAGTGGGAGGCTGTTCTCTGTGGACTGAGGAGGGACTGGCTGCCACTGGTGTGACAGGAGACCTTTGCCCCTCGCTACAGTCATTGAACTCTGTGAAAACCATTCCTGGCTTCTTCTTGTTAATCTTTCTATTCTTAGGAGCCAAGGAGGTTTAATTATTAGCATCCTTCCCTATCCCTCCCCCTTTGGGAAGAAACATCATGAAAAGGTCCACTCTTTGTCTTTTTCCGGCCATGGGGAGACCTGACTATCTTTATATTAAAAACAGCTGGCCCTAACCGGTTTGGCTCAGTGGATAGAGTGTCAGCCTGTGGACTGAAGGGTCCCAGGTTCGATTCCGGTCAAGGGCATGTACCTTGGTTGCAGGCACATCCCCAGTAGGGGGTGTGCAGGAGGCAGCTGATCGATGTTTCTCTCTCATCGATGTTTCTAACTCTCTATCCCTCTCCCTTCCTCTCTGTAAAAAATCAATAAAATATATTATTTTTTTAAAAAAACAGCTGATATTTATTCAGAGAGTACTATGTGCAAGGCACAAATTCCTACCTCAAAAATGCTATACAGTCACGCATGCATTTTATCTTGGCCATCCTGTGAAAGGCTTACAATTACACCCCTCCTCCCTCCCAGCTACAGATGAACAACAGAGGCTCAGAGAGGCCAGCAAAGGGCCACAGACAGGGAGCAAACACCTGTCTGACTCCACAGCCCACTCTTACCCCTGCCTCCATATCACCTTCCTCACACCTTCCCCAGCTCTCTGCTCAGTGGCTTGATCTGGTTAACATCAGTTACCTGTGAAACTCAATGGGAGAATTCCTTTTCAAGACCAATGGGACTGGGCTGCTCTAACCTCTCAGTTTGGATTTATTCACATGGTCAGTACACATCACAGAGTGCGACATTCCTGCAGCCAAATTAGCTGGTGCAGGAAGCCATGACCGGCCTGCGGGGCCACAGTGGATCAGTGACTCTCCGTCTCATTAGGCCGTCCCTCTCTGCTCATTTCTTTTCCTTTGCTGTGCACTGACTGGTTACTAAGATGAACACCTCTTCTTCAAAGTTTCCCCGAACTGAAATAAAATTAGACTTTGAAGAGGCTGATGGTTGGGAAGGTTAA